CGCCGAAAGGCTTGGGCTGCAGACCAAGCTTAGGCTTGATGATGGTGCCCACCACAAGACCTCCGTTGCTGGTTCCCTTGCCCAGGATGCGCCACATGTCCTCCACGTTAACGGCAGGGCCGTCGTAAAGGCGGAGGAAGGAGGGAGGCAAATAGAAGTCGTAAATCTTGCCGTACTCAACATCACCCATACCTCAGAAGCGTAAAGTCACAAGTGGACGTCGCACTAGCATTCACCGCAACACATTCTGCGTTGCAATGCGTTTCTAACACTGAGCCATGGGCCCTGGTTGTTGCCAATGGCCAGGGTCAAGAAGGAGCACATCATGCCGCGGCCATCGATGATGTTGCGGTCGAAGAGCAACGTGGGGTACGCGATCTTCATCTCCTTACTGCGTACAAGAGTTTCAACCGTAAATCCCTAAACCCTACACGTTGGACCCCAAATCCCAAGCCCAAACACTAAGCTGTAAATCCCAAATCCTAAGCCCTACATCCCAAACCCTAAACCCTAAACCGTAGAGGTCCTCACTGTCTGGGTCAATGTAATACACCAAGGCATCAACGGACTTGGTGAAATCATCCGTGGTGCACACATTCACATTGGTTCCCGTGGATGATTCTGCAGCGAAGTGGGCAGCAGTTGCCAGGTAGTCATAGCCTGCCTTGGGCTTCATGATGTAGGCCACTAGTACGTGCTTGCCTGCAGTACTTGAAAAAAACAAGCCGCGGAAATAAAGTATCCTCTTGCTGTGCAAGTACTGAGGCACACACCTGCGTGTCTGCCCATCAACTGAGCCGCAAGCCATTTCTAACAAGGTCCTCCTCGCTCAATGACAGATCCGCATAGCGACTGGACTGATCCAGGGCAGGCCTTGCTACCATGCTCGCTGGCGCTGAGTTTGGCAGCAGTCCATGGCCTCGACGACGCGATCGGCCGGCGGCTATGGCCAGGGCTCCACCACAAACAGCCGGAAGGACAGCTCCTGAAAATCCCACAGACCCCTGTGCTGTCTGAACAGCTTGTGGGCGGCTCTGTTGTGTTCGTGTGGGCGCAGGGGCGGATACGAAGGACTCCTGCGAGCTGAGGACAAGCCCGCCAAGACCTGCCGCAACACCAGCCAACGCCGCACTACGAGAGCGCCCCATCGCAACAGCCTCCCTTTTCTCAACCACTTACAGAGCCGAAAAGGCTAGCATAGGCCAGAGACAACGACAGCAGACATAGAAAAGCACACCTCTGAAAAAACCCACAGAACAGGACAGCCGCCGAAAATGTTCAAGCATGGCGAGCGAGACGAAACCCTTGCCCGATTCGCTGAACCATCTTGACTTGATCGGGCCATCAAGCATGAAGGACAGTAACTACCAGTGCAATGGAATGTTTCGCGCATCAGCTCCATGTCCTTTGTCAGGTTATCTTCGCAGGGCGGCTACCTTGATTAACTGCAATGACCTCATGCCAGAGCCGAGGACACGCGGCCGAAGCGTTTTCCCCTACACCATGCCAGAAAGCTCTAGCCACGATGGCAAATGGCTCTGCAAAACCGGCATCTTAGCTACAGGCCTGTTTGTGTCGAAGGTCTGATAGTAATGTTGGCAAAACCTCGGTTGCTGCCCGATATCCACATGACCAGGGCTTCAGGCAACTTGCAAGGCTTGCTGAGAAGAGGGCTGCTCGCCTATCTGCTGAAACGCCATCAATGCCTTCTGGCCTGCAGTTGTTCATTGGCACTGTTCAAATACGAGCAGCTCATCAAAAAAACTGGCAGATTGGCAAACTTTGTTATCCTGCCTTCGAGCTGAGGGCACAAGGCCTCTACACAGCTCTACTCAGCACAGGCGGCTTGGGCGCCAGGTGGTGCAGGAGCTGTGCACTTGAGCCAAACATTGGAACATCACGTCTTTTGGATTCAAAGCTGCAGTGCCAGGATGTGCAAGGGATGGGGACCTCTCCTTTTCGCGTGCTTTTCCTCCATCTTGGAGCGTGCAAGTTGCACGGGTGCATTTACAAGTCTTCGAAGCCTGCCGGATTGTTGCTCTTCAGCAAGGCAGACAATCTCTTGCAGAACGCTGGCCTCTGCTAGGAGACCCTCTTCCTGCAGCGTTCCTGTCAAACACACAGCTGAAAACAGCTGCTTATCTGCCAGCCGGAGTCACCATGAGGTCAGGGCCATACGAGAACTTTGCTGCAACCGCTTCCTCCACTGCACAAAAATTCGTGACAGAAACTCAAGAGTACTTCGACACCTTCCTGTCGGTCATGTTATTTCTATTTCCAAGGCAGCTACCGCTTCGCCACCAATGCAGCAACTCGCGTTGCTTTCTTGTGAAAGCCCTGCTCAAGGACCTGTGGTTGCCCTATCAACTCGTTGGGCACGAGGGCAGAAAGCGAGAACTCCAAGCATCACGCGGGCTGTGCCATCAGGGAACTTCTCCTGCCAAGCTGCAAACAAGAATCCTGCAGGAAGGCTGCCTCCGTGCAATGAAAAGTGCTTCAAGACACGTCATGCATGATGGTTCCTCAGAAAGATCCTCTCCTAGCCCCGGAAGTTTGTCCTGACAGAAACCTCCATCTTGTCATGGTCTGTCTTGTACTCCACAGACTTGGCCTCAAAACATCAAACTAAAACTCCGCAGATTTGGCACTGACAAAAAGGAATGTCACGCTGGGCGGCCTGGAGACTATCTTCCTCACAGGCAGGAGCCAGTGGCACACCAAAGTTTGGCTTGCCTCTGCGGCGCTCTTCCTGCAGGAGAGGGCTCTACCTACGGCCTTGTAAGAATCTCACGCTGATCCCCTTTTGTGTAAGGCGAGATACGTTGCAAATATGTTATCTTTGGGCCTCCTCTTGCCTTTGCTCCTCTTTTCTTCGTGTTCGGTGGGCTTTCCGAAGAACGCAGTTCCTTATCTTAACTGAGCAAGGAAAACCTCTGAAATGAGCTCATGCTTGCATGGTCGCATGGTCGCATGGAGAACCCGGAGTTGTCCCATGTCCAAATCTCGTTCCCAACATACAATACAAACGAAACCTCCGGAAGCCAGCTGCGTGCCGAAACACCATCCATAAGTATCCTCGCGCTCAGCCTGGAGGTCCTGCTGTTTGCTGCTGGGTTTTCATTTCATCGTGGTTTTCTTGATGGCAAGTTCGGACATGATGCTACGCTGATCCAATACACAAAAACAGTTGGATTCCACGGCGTCCTGTAGATCAGACAAGCGCTCCTTGTGGTTTCGCTCCTGCTGCATGTCTCCTCTGCAGCTCACTATGCTGCTCAACAGGTACAAGGCTTCATGCATACAAGTCTAAGCCGCGCACTGACGGTCTTCTCAACTCGGAACATCGGATCAGCTTGCATTCTTCTTCGAGTCTCTGGATCTACAAGCTCCAGAGTTTCTGAGTCCTGCTGTGGACATGACTTGGCACAAACCAGCATCCCATGCTTTGAAAGAGGAGGGGTCCTTGTTGTCCCAAGTTTCAACTTTTCGGCGAAGTCCCTCGGCCAGCTCATAGTCATCCTGTCCAATCCAGACAAGTCCTCTGAAACAATAACTTCAAAACAGGTCGGCTCGGCATTTTTGGGATCCGTACGGATAACAAGCCGCTGGTTGCAATGTGCCCGCCCTGCGAGGATTTAAAAGCGTCTGCTGCAATCAGCTCCAGCTCTGATACTCCAACTTTTCGACGCACAGTCTGAACAGATTCCAGCATCCCCTTAAAATATCATGCATACATATCTTTTTCGTGGTCCATCAACACACCCTCTGTAAGTCGCGCGGTCTGGACAAATCTCTCCAAGGCGTCCAAAAAAGGATGAAGTGGCAATCCGCGCCAAAAAGCCCAATGCGCCCCGTGGTACCACTGCTGCCGGTTGTCAACAACTTTGGTCCTGCAGGCTTGGTTGCAATTGTGGCAGGCGCCACGCAATACTTGTGCTGATCATCCCGAGAGTACGTGGAATCAGTGTCTGCAGCTTGGCCAGGCAATTCACAGCGGCTAAGCTTACAGCATCCGACTCCAAATCATGCTCCACTGCATCGCAGATCCCACCAGGTGTTCATGCTGTAGCAACGCCTTCACCGTTGCGCTGCCGCATCATTGAGAAGCCACGCAGAACGACAAAACTAGTCCGGGAGCCATTCCACTTTGAGTCCTGCATAGACCATGACTCCCCACACCACGGTTTGCACACTCTACCTTCGTGTTTTGGCCCCCTTCCGACGGCTTGGGAGCCGCATGGCGGCCTGGCAGCTACCAAACCGAGATCCTCTTTCACTCCGTTATGGTTCACCACGAACAGGTACAACACTGCAGGAACTGCATCAGCTCTCTGTTTGGTGTTTGTCTTGATTGAAGGGTAAACTAGAAGTATCCGATAGAGTAGTTTTCATCAACTGGTTTTAGCCTGTCTGATGCAGTGGTTGGCTACTTACTGCGTGAACCAACAGGTTTCAGGAATGCGAGCTGCAAGAATTGAAAGGAAAAGGTGAGAGCGCACCATTTGCAGAATTCTCCGGACTGACGATGTTGCCTGCAGTCGAACGCGTTTGTAACTCCAAGCAGCCATAGATGTGGAAACATGCTTCAGTCGGCTTGCTTATAGCAATCTGTGAGGCATGCACATTGCAATGCCAAGTGGCCGCAGTGCATGGAGAACTCGTACAAAGGGGTTGAAAAGTACATGCCAACCTTTTTTTTGTCAGCCTCGAAGCCAGCCGCAATTGCTGACAATGTTTGTGATGTGACGGATAATGAATTCAACTGGGCAGCATTGTAGCGAGTACCTTGATGAATGTACAAGCCGCACCTGCTGCAGACTGAAGCTACAGAAGCGTAGGAGGCACTGATGTCCAATATGCTGTAAGGAGAAATGAGCACCTTGCCAGGCCTCACGCACTGCACTGTGAAGGGCATTTCGAAGCGAATCAGCAGCACCTGATGTCATGAACATCAAGCATACCTGCTGACCATTGTCAGTCCTTGAGCTGCGGGCCCCCTTGCTGAGGTTTTTTGTTCGCTCCTTGCCAAAGTGATGCTCGAAGCCTCTCCTGAGAGTGAGCTGCCCCCCCCGCTGCTCAGAGCTTGTTGCCACCTTGTCCAGGCCACGCTGAACGGCAAGATTCCATGCTGGGGCACTTGCTTTCGCTGGAAGTGATCCAAGGAGCCCCTGGACGGCTTCCATTCCTCACAGGTGTCCCGGTGTCCCATCCACACGTCAGGAATTCAAAGCACCAGCCCATGCCTGCGGGTAGTAGAAGGAGTCAGCACAAGCTGCCTTGAGACTAATGTCCTGCGATACAGTGGTACAAATCAGAGGGGCATCTGCTAGTCGTGACCCCGCAGCATGTACACAGTCCTTCGTCATGATGTTCCGAGTGACAAGCTTGCAGACGCGTCTGCAACTATCCAAGCTCTGTGCTGGTCACCATGGCACGGGCGAACTGTTTTTGGTCATTCCTACAAAATGCCACAATTAAAAGGAGACTTATTGTATATGTCGACACAAGTATCCCCGTCCACCGGACTAGTCAGGTACACGTGCTTCTGCAAGCTGGCTTCAAACCAGTCCTCTGCAATATTGCCAGACGTTCCGTGGTCTCTTGAACAAAGAACTGCTCTGTCCAGGTTTGATCAATATTTGTTCTGCTAAGCCTTGCGCACAGCTCAGGTCAAATTTCCCACAGAGCACCTGTGCAAACTTGCATGAGACTCTGTCGACGCCTCATCTCAGCATGCTTTTTAGCTGCGTGGACGCACGCACCCACAGCCGCAGCTACACAAGTGTTCAGAAACGGCTGAAAACATTTCCAGGAGACCTGGATCCAGGGTGCAAAGCCACAGGTGCTCAGCGATTTTTACCCAGATGCTGGGCGTCCCAGCCCCATGAGCATGTTGGGGTCCAGCTGACCTCCTCCTCGGATCTCACCTTTTACCTGCCAGACCACGAACCAGGGAATCCATTCCTCATTTGCCTCACTGAACCAGGAACCAGCCGGGCACACCACCCTGAGATCCTTGGTGCAGATTGATGCCCAAAGTACCGCTCCAACACGAAGCACAATCGTAGGCCCGGTACTCCATCCTGCAGTTTCTCCATCTCCAACTCATGCCTGCTCTCAGCCAAGGTGCTGCATCCGAAATCTGGGTCTCATGTTGCCATCCCATTCAGGGGGCCACTAGAATGAGAACACCCAATGTCATGTTAAAACATCACTTCGAAGTGTCCAGCATATCCCACCAATTTCATAGTCTCATTAAGGTCACCAGGCCCAGGCCTCACCACAAAGTCTTCCATTGCACCGATGGCCTGGTCCTGCTCAGCGAATCTTGCACATAAATCATCATAAAAAGAGCATGAAACTAGCCATTACTCATCATGAAAACTGTAAAACTGGTAAATTTACTGCCAGCGCTGCCAATGTTAAGAGAGTCCAGCGTGATCTGCACATGGGTCAGGTCACCCGTGGAAAGCTCCTGCAGGCTTCTCCATCCAAAGTGCCAGCGAAAACGTGGGCGTCCCACCTCCCAAGAACCTTCTGCACGGTGGTAAAAACACAGGCCGCCGACCTCTTCAAACCATGAGCACCCGGGTGTGTCTGCTGCTGCTGAAGCGGCCTTCCGCTCTGTTTGGCAGCGAGCCCTACGGCTCCCTTCCAGGCCTCAAGCTTTTGAAGCTGGGAAGCGTCAAAGCCAAAGCAAGAAGCTTCTGATGCATTTTGATGCTGTGCTGAGCGCGGCACACAAAGTGATGCCTCGACAGGAACTTGCCTCACATGAAAGTGCAAGCGAAGTGCGAAGAAGTTTCATTTGCCATTTGGTCGACTTGCAAGAGCTCAAGGCCTGGCAGAAGTACTCACCCGCTATGGACTCCACCACCAAAGCAGTCAGCTCTGCACCATCAGCCACGTGCTCGCAGAGGCGATCACTTGGCTGCAGCGCCTGCATGTAACAAGGTGATCAGCTATGGACTCTCAATTGGCACCAGCCTCTGTCTCCACTGCCAGGCGATACTCTGTGAATGGAAGAGGCGGCACCAGGTTCGCAAGCTCTTCGGCAAGCCTCAGCTTCCCGTCCCCACGAGGCACAATCCTTTTTCAGCAGGATTCAAAGCAACGAGCTTTTTCAGTTTTGACGTACGTGTACAGCCACAGGCTTGCAAACGGGGCAGCGACTGGCCAGCTGTGCATTTGCCATTTACTGTGAGCTCAGCCAGAAGTTCTCCTGCTCAAGAGTGAATCTTAGATCTTTCACCTACGGCAACCGCTTTTCAAATATTTCCTTGGACTTGCCTGCCATTGCTCGGATTGAAATGTCCATCGCGGCTCGCTGCCGCTTGACATGGCTGGCCTCTTCAATCTCAGTCGGCAAGCAGCACAGACCCTTATACTTTGGTCCAGTCAGGTCCAGGGCCTGCTTTTGCAGATAGTCCTGTGCAGGTCAATGTCACAGCTGTGCGCCTTTGTACAGAGACCCCCCTAGACTCCCTCGCCCCCGCCACAGAGTTCACAGTCTAATGGGTGCTTGGCAAGCACTCGGCAAGCAACAAGGCCTGTGTGAGGACTCGGAGCCGATTCTTGCTTAGTGAGTATTCAGAGATGCCCGCTAAGTGCTTGCTAAGCCACACAGCTTGCGCCCAAGATTCGGAGAAGGAGAAGTCGCCCAATGCAGCCTGATGAGATGTGGCCTGTGTCCCGCTCGCTCCCAGCGCATTCCTTTCAACGAACCGAGAAAAGCGGGGATCAGCCCGGCGTTCTTTGTGTTATCCGCTGACGAGGCTGTGTCGAGCTGAAGCCCGGGCAACATTGAAAGCGGGAAACATTGTCTCCGACGGCAGTGCTGCAGGGCTTTACCCCCAGCGTCGCGAGAAGACTTGTGACAACCCTTATGCTGATGTGGCTCTTCCTTTGACGAATACCCAATTTGGAACGAATAATAATGGAGAAGCACTCGCAATAACGACAAACGGCGACGACAACAACAACGACGGCATTTGGGTGGTTCCATATTGGGTCGGAGGGCGGTCTGCTTGATGGAGACGGGAGAACACTCGATGAAAGGTGGGATGGGTTGGATTTTGCGTAGAGTTCCTGCAGGTAGGCACAACCCTACTAGCTCATGAACACAGCACCAAAACGTTGATCCAGCAACAGCCACAGTAATGAGCTGTCAGTTGTGGGAGGGAGTCTATGGAACATTTAGAACATTTAGAAGCGGCATCTCATGTGATTTGCACATAACATGGTGATCCCCCAAAAAAAAGCTATTGCAGAAATCGTCCTTCTAAATGATGGGCAAGCAAGGGGTTCATAGGAGGGTGGCACTAGTCCACGTAAAGGAATAAGACTGGAGGGGAGGCTTCATGCAAATTGGTGAGGACAAGCCATGTATGCGTTGTAGATGATGAACAGGGCCGGAGGCTCTGCACCTGGAGTGCTGAGCTAGTTGAGTAATCTCCGGATAACATGATGTTGGTGTAAATCTCTACGTTTCTCGGGGAACTATGCAGGCTAATGGGGTTGCAATGATGCCTTCATACAAGATAAACAGAGCGGGTTGCAAAGCTACATCTAAGATACTCTGACTCCGAATCGTCTCTGGCACAAATAGATACGGGCTCGAACTTGCAGTTTGTCACGTGATTATGAAATATTGGGACGCACTGAGGGGTTTGTTTGCGACTGCTTTCCTTCGTTCTGTCTTAAGGTGGGGGGCCTACAAAATGATTTTTTTAATTCTTTATCGAAAAAATTGCAGAAAATCTGGCCTGCATTGCAACGCACTCTGCAGAATTAAGAGTAAGAGGAATGTTATTAGTATTGTTAGAAATGCTTGTACTGTCTGCTGGTAAGTAGCTCGCGGCAGCTATCAGCTTTCGTCAGGAAGTCAATGCTGGCGTTGTGTGCCACAGCAATCGTTCTGTTTGATATACTGACATTTACAATTCGGCATTTCTCCCGCGGGTGGGAAAAATTATCCCTTACAAGGACTCACCTAAATGACCCTCAATCTTGGGAAACTATAACAGAAAAGGGAGCCAGCGTCAAATTACCAAGAGGAACTCTACCACGGTAGCTCGTATGAGCTCATATGACCATGTCACCACAAACGTGTGCGGCACTCCTGTCGCCGTCGTTCTTCTTCGAAGGCCTCATCGTGGGCCAGCTCCTTTGCAAACCCTGCGCTTTAAGTATTTCAGGGTCTTGGGTTGGGGTGGCGTCCAATTACACAGCCATTTTCATTGCTTCTACACCCCCTGACTCCCAACAGACCACATAAATGTCAAATCAAGCCTGAAAAGTGCGCGTTGTCACAAAACCAAGAAACCTTGAAACTCCCTGCAAACACAATGATAAAACTGCTATCTGGACATTCCTCAATACTTGGACGATCTACCAAGGGTATTAGAGTCCTCGATCTAGAGGAAACTCGGACAGGGACTCATGATTGTGAAAGGATCCCATGTTCGCTAAGAAGGTTCCTCCACGGCATCCCAGAGGTCGTCAAGGCCAGCCTTCATGCAGCCGTGCGTGCAAGTCGGGGCTCAGGGCCTCGGGTTTAGGTTGTATGTACGGGTTGAGGTTTGGGGCTTAGGTTTAAGAACCGCTGTGCTCCCTCTCTTGGTGATGTCTAGGAGGGAAAACCTGCCGTGTGGGTCATGTTGTTTGTTCCGGTTCCTGCACTTGAAGCTGCTGGACAGGTAGCGCATGGTGGGATGCAATCTGAGGAGTCTTGCAAGAACGCAGTGGGTCGCGAAATAATTGAAGGCATTGCCTCCAAGGCATCGCTCTGCTTCTCATCCTCCATGGCGCACATGACAGCACATTAAGCACCTCACAATCCCTGCCAGCCGCCTGTCCCTTTTTTCTGACATGATCGAGTCCTTTTGTTCTGGGTCCACTGTGAGGTGTTGACTCAGGCGGTAGGGGTAAGCTACTGAGCCTGGCTGGAGCCAACACCATAGAATTTACAACAGGGGGCAGCCGACTTGTTAAGCTTTTCCAAGGGTGCTACGCGGGGACCAACACCGAGTCACCAATGCTTACTCCAAGGCGACACTCATGCTTTGCGCCAATTCTGACTTGAAGACCACATGTTGCAAGAGGCCGCACTTTTGGATAATGGCGAACAACCGCGCAGTATGGATGGCTTTGCCATCGCCTGCGCAAAGCTCATTGACACAACTAAGCAGTCAAGCTGCAGCAATCAAGCAGGCACAAGCGTATCCCGCCAGAAGGCAGCAGATGAAAACACTGAAATTACCTCCAGGCTGCTCACGCTCTGCGGAGGATATCACAATGAAACAGGCCAAGTGGATCTTGCCACATGTTCGATCGAAGCTGGCTGCTTGCCTCGGATATGCCTTTGGGACAGCAGGATCGCTGTATGGATGTCTGTAACTTCTTGGGCAATAGACATAACTTTTTTTCTTACCCGCTTGTGCTCTTGCATCATGATCGCAACGTCTATAGAGCGCGCAGGGCCCTTGAGTCGCATACAGCCTTCCACAAACTCGCTCGCATCCAAGTCCCCATTGCCAGAAGTGTCCATGAGTTTGAATAGCGTCCAAGCATCGGAGGTGTCCAGTTCGAGTAGTAGTAGTAGTGTTCGATGAGGACGGCACACTGACTCGATGTAGCCGCCCGCCGCCATGAGGAGAAAGAAGAGGTAGAGCTCGTCAGCCTCCGACAGCTCTTTTTGCCCGCCAGGTAAGGGAGCGCTTCTCCGAGACAATCCTTTTGAGCTCAGCATGCCACGACTCAGTGGCCCGCAGCTGGGCATTCAGCGCCCGATAGCTCCAGGCCTCGCCCTCCTTAATCTTCGCCTCCAAGGCCCTGAACCACGGCTCCGTCTGTGAAAGCTGAGCGGTGGCCGCCTCATCCGCCACGTTGTTGAGGGCCCGGCACGCGCCAGCATCCGGCCAGCCGTCTGGAGGGGCCCAAGCGCTCTGCTTGCCGTGAGAAGGGACCCAGGCCAACTGCATGAGGTCCCGCGACTGCCTGTAGCACTGCCAGAAAGCCCACAGCTCGTCCTCCTCGAAGTCAGCGGTGAACCTCCGCCGCGCGCCTTGCACAATGGCCAAGTTGTCCAGAAGAACCCGCACTCGCCTCCCCGTCAACCGCACCGCCTTGCAAAGCGTGGCGAAGGCTGCCCTTTCGCCAGCCGCAGCCGTGCGCTCCTCGCCCTCGACCAAGCCCGACACGACGTGCTCGCCAACTGCCACGGCCCACGAAGCCGCCCTCCATCTGTAGTGCTCGCCCGCAAGGTAGGCACCCCCGTCAGTCGCGACCAGCACGTCGTCCTCAGCCGCCGCCAGGTAGCCCGCAAGCAAGCCAACCTGGCCCTCAACGTCCTGGCCAGCGGGGAAGTCAAAGCCCTCATCCTCAACGATGGCGCACAGCATTCGCCTCTCCTGCTCCGAGCGCCGGTCATGACACCAAGGCCTCAGCCTGCAATCGAAGGTCAAATGATGCCGCGAAGGAGCCGGCTCACCACAGGGGCAATCCTTGGGTGCGTGGAGCCGTTCCAGGTCCCGGCCATCAGTGGCCGCCGCGGCCGCCACACGCAGTGCCAGCACCCGGCCATCCCGAGCAAAATTTCTGCGCGGCCTCAGCAGTGGAGTCGCCGTGGTTGCCAGGGCCCCGGCCGTCTTGGTGTCCCGCCTCCAAAGCTCCCGCCTCCAAGCCTCTCGCAAGCGCTCTTGAAACCCCGTCAAACTCAT